TTTTGCTCCATTATTGTTCAAATTTCATTGTACAATCTCTTAGTATTTAAATAATCAACTACCTCATTTTGTGATTTTACTAGTAAGCATAAATCACCTTATGTGATTTTCTTATTTACTATTGTTCGCTTGAACATTAGCTGAATTGATACTTTCTCTGTCCATATTACTACATCATATTTTTTTTAAATACTACAATTGATATTACTTACTAAAATTAATAAATATCATTTTTACTAAAATTTCAATTTACTCTTAACATTTTTGACATTTAATAACCATTACTTGACTAATTACCTTTACCTGTTTTTAATACCACATTTACTATCCTAGATTACTCTATAATTACCTTGTACTGCCATATAACCTCAAGTATAACTACCAGTGCAATATGAATGAAATAAACATTACTATTTCACTTTTGTAATCATTATTACTTACTAAAATTTTATTAAACACCATATTTACTACCAGTCAATTTTACTTTTGTACATTAAACTTTTATTTTATACTTCCCATAACATTTTGTTGCCAAATTTTCAAGTTTTTAATATTCAACCCCAACCTTGTATTATCCTTTGTACCTGTGTACCTGGGTACCTGTCTACCTCTTACTATCATATTATAACCAAGACATTACCATTGTGATTTTTTTACTATTATTCTTTTGTACTTTAATTGTGAATTTTTATTTTGTCAATTTAAATCTATAGTTATAACCTTGATCTTGTCAACAACCCATACCAGACTCTAGTGCAATTGCAAGTACCATTTCAAATTGTATTTTTATATTATAAGTTTATATTATAATTCCTACCATCTGTCCATTTAACTTGCTTACCATTACTTAATTTTAGTCCTTTATATTTTCTCCTTTATTTTAGCTTTATATAACTATCCTAGTTTATATATCCACAACTGTTAAAATAATCAAGGTGCTATTCTCAGGTGCTAAGTAGAATAAGCTCACAATCTTGCCATTATATTCCAAAGCTCATTTATTCACAACCTATATTAGTCCCTTTTTATTATAATTTTAAACTATAATTATAACTTAAAAAATTACCTTTATAGTACTACCTACTATCATATTCCCAAGCACTATTATATGATCATCACTTTATTTGTATTAGTCCCTTAGCTCATTATTTACATTTGTTAAATAATTCAGGTGCTATTTTTTAGCTTAAGACTATTTACTTTGTTTTATACTTAATTCTAACTATAGATTCACTACAAATCTTATGATTACAAGCATTGATCCTGATACCAACCTCTTATTTAATGACTTAAATGAATCAAACAGTTACTGTAATTACTACACTGCAGAACAATCAAAGGCACTTCTCTAGTGCCAACAACAAACTAACTATCTTTAACTACAATATCAGATCATTAAGCAAGCATTACGATGACCTCATAGCATTACTAAATTCCTTACATGCCAATATGTCCATCATTACACTAACTGAAACCTGGCTAAAGCCTGATAGTACAGATGTCTATGCCATTCCTGGTTACACAGCCATACACAACTGTAGGCCAGACCAACAAGGGGTGGCACAGCCATATACTACTCAGACCAACTAGAATGTATCACTAATACTTGCACAAGGATGAACATGGGGAATATATAATAGCTAAATTCAAATCCAAATACCTACAAAAACCTCTCACATTGATAAACATCTACAGAGTTCCACAGTCAAACATTAGCCAATTTAGTCAAAATCTAGGAAGTATGATAACTGATGCACGCATGAACAAAGATCACTTACTACTCTCAGGTGACTTCAATATAAATCTCCTGCAAGACCAGGACCCACACGTTACTGAATTCACAAACACAATGAGTAACTGTATGTTACTACCAACAGTAACAAAAACCTACAAGAGTTACAGAGACTAGTGTTTCCCTACTTGACCACATCTGGACCAACACCATATCCCCTTTAAAATCAGGCATAATTACAGATTAATACCACAGACCACTACCCTACTTTCCTCATAACAACTCTTGGTAAACTACCCCAAGACACTACAAAGTCACCTTCAGACTTCACAATGAGGCAGCCATTAATAACTTCGCAACAGCATTAGCAAACATTGATTGGCACACTGAGCTAGAAATCTATACAGATATTGACGAATGTATTAATAATTTTCTAAAAAAGACCCAATACCTCTATAACAAGCATGCCCTAAAAAAACTAAACAGATGACAGCAAAGAGACTGAACAGTCCCTGGCTAACACCCAGCATTCTCAAATCCATAAATACAAAACACCAATATGAAAAACAGTACAGAATGGGTCACATAACCAGAGACCAAACAAAACGTTACTCGTCAATCTAACCAGCCTGATAAGAAGGGCAAAAAAATTGTATTATGAGAACAGATTATCCAACTTACGAGGTGATATAAAAAAGACCTGGAAAACACTATCTGAAATTCTGGGAACAAAAAAGATATCACGAAATAGCGAAATAAAATTAGCAAAATCAGATGAACCCCAACTCCCACAACAGAAACAGCAAACAGACTCAATGATTTCTTCTCCACTATAGGACAAAACCTTGCCCATAAAATCCCAAGCTCAGATACCCCACCAAATAACTACCTCACCGGCAACTACCCGAACACACTGTTCCTAGCTCCGACTAACCCATACGAAGTCTCCTTATTATCAATGCACTAAAAAACAAGGCAGGAGATTTAAGTACCTTACCACCCTTTATATATAAAAAAGTGTCACAAGTGCTATCTCCAATCATTGCAACACTCTTTAACAAATCCATTGAATCCTCCACCTTCCCTACAGTACTCAAAATAGCAAGGGTCACCCCGATCCACAAAGGAGGAGACCAAACAGAGTTGAATAACTATAGGCCAATATCCAACTTACACCCTCTCTCAAAATCTTTGAAAAACTAATTCATAAACGAATCTACTCCTACCTTATCTCCCAGAACATACTCAACCCTGCCAATTTGGATTCAGGCCTAATAAAAATACTAATGATGCTATTATACACATGCTAGGAACATATATACACTGCAATAGAGAAAAAAGAAGTCCCACTGGGGATCTTCATTGACTTACGTAAAGCTTTTGATACAGTTGACCATGACTTGCTCCACGTAAAATTGTCACACTATGGTATAAGAGGGCACTCCCTCAATTACCTCAAGTCATACCTCAGCAACAGAAGCCAATATTGTGTACGCAAATGGGGCAAACTCTTCGCGCAACCAATTACAGTTGTGGTGTCCCACAGGGAAGTGTCCTTGGCCTCTTCTCTTTCTCCTATACATAAATGACCTTCCAAATGCTTCGCAATTACTCAAACCCACACTATTTGCAGATGACACTACATACGTCTTCTCTCACCCGAGCCCAGTCACACTAGCCAATACTGTAAATACCGAATTACAGAAAATATCTACCTGGATGAGGACTAACAAACTTACACTAACATTGACAAAACCTACTTCATTCAGTTTGGTAACAGAGCTACAGATGTCCTCTTAACATAATGAATAAACGGATCACCTATCACAAAGCTAACAGAGGGAAAATTCTTAGGAATCCACCTTGATAATAGACTCAAATTTCATACACATATACAACAAATTTCTAAGAAAATTTCCAAGACTGTAGGCATAACTATCGAAGATACGGTACTATATGTTCCACAGTCAGCCCTCCTGGCCCTATATCACTCTCTTATTTACCCCTATCTCACCTATGGAATTGTGCATGGGGCTCAACAACAGTTAACCATCTCAGACCACTAATTAACCCAACAAAAGGCTGCAGTTAGAATGATAACAAATTCTCACTACAGGCAGCACACTCCACCAATATTCAATACACTAAACCTACTCACCATACAAAACATCCATACTTATTACTGCACCTATTACATACATAGAACACTTAACTCTGATATAACCCCTCCCCTCAAAAATCTCCTTGCCAACTCAACAGAACACATGACCATAACACAAGGCACAGATCACTCTTTGATGTTCCTCGTGTTCCTCACACTATGCAAAAACTCAATGCACATAAAAGGCCCTAAAATCTGGAATTCATTACCTGTAAATATAAAAGAAACACTACCTGTTTATAAATTCAAATCTCTACTCAAAGATCACTTACTCACCAAAACCAAAAAATACTGAATAACTGAACCTTATAAATTGTATATCTTAAAAAGTTTCTCACAATTATATCACATAAATGTTAAACCTAAAAACCCAATCCCAACTTTATTATTTTTTAAAACACTACCTAACAGAACCTTCATATGACCTGTCTTTGTAATACTCACTTGTGCTTTATAGTAATCTGTTTACATTAATGTTTTATCACTGACTTCATCATTGCTTAATTAATCTTAAGTTAATTTTAAGCCAGCCCGTAATGCTATGCATAGTATAAGTGGCTTTGGCATACTGCTCTTATCTGTATTTTTTTGTACCTCTGTATGTGTGCACAAATTTATAATAAATAAATAAATAAATAAAAAACTGTGATAGGCAAATAAGCCGTATAGATGATATTAGCGAAATTATTCAAGAAGTATTTTGTCCGGCCTCCTGATAAACTCATCCACCGCCGACACCACCCATACCACTACATGAATGAGATATTTTATTAATTTTACAGTATATATCAGGTTTCTATGTCATTTATGCTGTTTAATATGTCATATTAGATGAATTGTGATAGATAAATCAGCCGTAGAGTTGATATTAGAGAAATTATTGAAGTACAGAATTCCACTGGAACAGATTAATTGCATTTCAATTAATTTAAATGAGGAAAATTGACTGTGCAAATGAGCAAATCCAGTTGTGAGCAAGGTCATGAAATGGATTAAACTGGCAAGTAGAAGTTCCACTGTATTTAATGTGTTCTTTTTACTTTACTACAAATACCATAATAAAAAGAAATTCAACAAATTAAGTATTTAGGATAAGAGAAAACACAATAAATATTCATATTCTGTTTTAATAAAACTTGAAGAGAGAGAGAATATTTAGCATTTTTAGTATTAACAAAGTAATTATCACACAGAATATATTTTTATGAAAAAACAGAAATTCTGTTAACACACATTTCAACTTCCTTTAAATTCACTCTATATCTAGACATACCTGGCCTCTAGCCAGCTGTGTACTCACATCTAGACATACCTGGTCTCTGGTCAGCTGTGTACTCACACCTAGACATACCTGGTCTCTGGCCAGCTGTGTACTCACATCTAGACATACCGGGGTCTTTTGGCCAGCTGTGTACTCATATCTAGACATACCTGGTCTCTGGCCAGCTGTGTACTCACAGCTAGAAATACCTGGTTTCTGGCCAGCTGTGTAATCGTATCTAGACATGCCTGGTCTCTGGCCAGCTGTGTACTCACATCTAGACATACCTGGTCTCTGGCCAGCTGTGTACTAACATCTAGACATACCTGGTCTCTGGCCAGCTGTGTAATTATATCTAGACATACCTAGTTTCTGGCCAGCTGTGTAATCATATCTATTCATACCTGGTCTCTGGCCAGTTGTGTACTCACAAAGCACACTTGACTTCTCTCTAGTTGTTGTTGTAACAGAAGAATATAAATCACACCTGACACTTACCAGCTGTTGTGCTGACATGAAAACACCAGCCACTCATGACACCACCTAGTTCTATTGCTAACATAATATATGTTTGTGTAAACTTGTTACCTGGCATTTAAATGCATTTATAAGTGAAAAAAATGGCATTCTGCTTTCTGGCAGTCGCCTGGAACCTAACCTGCCGTATATGTGGGGTTCTACTGTATTGTTCCTTTATCAAAACTTTTATCAAACTACAGAAACCAACCACCAGAAAGATAGTGAAATATATTACCTTTATCCTAGCATTACCTTTATCCCAGCTTTATCTTAATCCCAGCATTACCTTTGTCCCAGTATTATCTTTATCCCAGTATTACCTTTATCCCAGTATTACCTTTATCCCAGTATTACCTTTATCCCAGTATTATCTTTATCCCAGTATTATCTTTATCCAGTATTCCTTTATCCCAGTATTACCTTTATCCCAGTATTATCTTTATCCCAGTATTATGTTTTTTCCCAGTATTACCTTTATCCCAGTATTACCTTTATCCCAGTATTACCTTTATCCCAGTATTATCTTTATCCCAGTATTATGTTTATCCCAGTATTACCTTTATCCCAGTATTACCTTTATCCCAGTATTACCTTTTTCCCAGTATTACCTTTATCCCCCGTATTATCTTTATCCCAGTATTATGTTTATCCCAGTATTACCTTTATCTCAGTAATACCTTTATCCCAGTATTATCTTTATCCCAGTATTTTCTTTTATCCCAGTATTATCTTTATCCCATTTTTATCTTTATCCTAGTATTATCTTTATCCCAGTGTTTATCAAATAGAAAAGTTAAATCAATTTCTGATACACAAAATATAAATTTACATGTAGAAATATTCAAAACTTAAGACTTCAAAATTAAAAGAATATTTTTCAACTATGTTCAACCATACATATTGTTGTTATTATTACTTGTTGTTATTGTATTACCCTTAATAATATTGTTGTTATTATTACCTTTTATTGTATTACCTTTAACAATATTGTTGTTATTATTACCTTATATTGTATTACCCTTTTAAAAATATTTTGTTATTATTACCTTTTATTGTATTACCTTTAACAATATTGTTGTTATTATTACCTTTTTTTTTATTACCTTTAACAATATTGTTGTTATTATTACCTTTTATTGTATTACCTTTAACAATATTGTTGTTATTATTACCTTTTATTGTATTACCTTTAACAATATTGTTGTTATTATTACAAGTTGTTATTGTATTACCCTTAACAATATTGTTGTTATTATTACCTTTTATTGTATTACCTTTAACAATATTGTTGTTATTATTACAAGTTGTTGTTATTATATTATCCTTAATAATATTATTGTTATTGTTACCAGTTATTAATATATTACCTTTAACAATGTTGTTGTTATTATTACCAGTTGTTATTATATTACCCTTAATAATATTGTTGTTATTATTACCAGTTGTTATTATATTACCCTTAACAATATTGTTGTTATTATTACCAGTTGTTATTATATTACCCTTAATAATATTGTTGTTATTATTACCAGTTGTTATTATATTACCCTTAATAATATTGTTGTTATTATTACAAGTTGTTATTGTATTACCCTTAACAATATTGTTGTTATTATTACCTTTTATTGTATTACCTTTAACAATATTGTTGTTATTATTACCAGTTGTTATTATATTACCCTTAACAATATTGTTGTTATTATTACCAGTTGTTATTGTATTACCCTTAACAATATTGTTGTTATTATTACCTTTTATTGTATTACCTTTAACAATATTGTTGTTATTATTACCAGTTGTTATTATATTACCTTTAACAATATTGTTGTTATTATTACCAGTTGTTATTATATTACCCTTAACAATATTTCCTTAAATAATATTGTGTTGGTAAAATTGTTACCAGTGTATTGTATACAAACATCAGACAGTTATATATTGTTACCAGTGTATCCTGTATGATCATCAGTTATATATTGTTACCAGTGTATCCTGTATGATCATCAGTTATATATTGTTACCAGTGTATCCTGTATGATCATCAGTTATATATTGTTACCAGTGTATCCTGTATGATCATCAGTTATATATTGTTACCAGTGTATCCTGATGATCATCAGTTATATATTGTTACAGTGGATCCTGTATTCATCAGTTATATATTGTTACCAGTGTATCCTGTATGATCATCAGTTTATATTGTTACCAGTGTATCCTGTATGATCATCAGTTATTTTATTGTTACCAGTGTATCCTGTATGATCATCAGTTATATTTTTGTACCAGTGTATCCCGTATGATCATCAGTTATATATTGTTACCGTGTATCCTGTATGATCATCAGTTATATATTGTTACCAGTGTATCCTGTATGATCATCAGTTTATATTGTTACCAGGTATCCTGTATGATCATCAGTTATATATTGTTCCCCGTGTATCCTGTATGATCATCAGTTATAATTGTTACCGTGTATCCTGTATGATCAAACAGTTATATATTGTTACCAGTGTATCCTGTATGATCATCAGTTATATATTGTTACGAGTGTATCCTGTATGATCATCAGTTTTTATTTGTTTCCCGTGTATTCTGTTAGATCGTCAGACAGTTATCATATATTTCTATAGCAGTGTTTTCCATCGTTATCGATTTTAACTATATGGTCAATGCAGTGTTACCATATACAACTCTGTTATTGGTGTCATTTTTTTCTGTGTAACCATTAGATATTTACCACATATAACATAGTGCCTTGGTGTAAACTGTTACCAGTTTATTCTATATGATCATAAGACTAATTCCACATAAATCCTTAAACATTGTTGCCATTGTTACCAGTTGATTGTATGTTATCATTACAGTGTTACCACAATCAATCATGAACATACATTGGTGTCAGTGGCGCCAGTTGTTATTGTGTAACAGCTACACTCTTACCTAAACAAAGCAAAACAAAAAAAAATAAAAACATTAAGAAATCGAACAAAAGGGAAACCTACTTATAACTCGTTAATTTTCCGAGGGTTGTCAGACATGTAGAAGTGTTCTCCTGAAACACCTGTCTTCCTCTGAGGGTTGTCAAACATGTAGAAGTGTTCTGCAACAACTGTCTTCTTCTGAGGGTTGTCAAACATGTAGAAGTGTTCTCCTGAAACAACTGTCTTCCTCTGAGGGTTGTCAAACATGTAGAAGTGTTCTCCTGAAACAACTGTCTTCCTCTGAGGGTTGTCAAACATGTAGAAGTGTTCTCCTGCAACACCTGTCTTCCTCTGAGGGTTGTCAAACATGTAGAAGTGTTCTCCTGCAACACCTGTCTTCCTCTGAGGGTTGTCAAACATGTAGAAGTGTTCTCCTGCAACAACTGTCTTCCTCCAAGTTTTATGTGGATACATTTGTGTTATTATGTCTCAACTAGTAACTGTCTTTCTCAGTCTTCACTGTACATTACTTTTTCCTCAGTGTTATACTAAAGCTTCAGTTATATTGATATTACTTATAATTGCTTAACGTAGTTCTTTATTCATTACCGTCAGTGTGCTGCTATCTTCAACGTTCTGATGTTTTCTTTTTCGTTCATCTGTCAAGTAGAAAGATAAAAATCAAACAAATAATAAACAGTTATCTGTCAAAAATATATATTCTCAAGAAACATAAACAAGTACAGCAGACCGTTATATTTCGTGGTTTCATTTGGCACGTTTTGGTTATTGCACTATTGAAAAATTGTGGCACAATTTTATACAACACTTCGTAAAATTAACTGAACACGGTTTGGTTTGTGGGAGAGGAAAAAATCTGAAGCATCGCCCATGGGATACTTCCCCAACACAGCTAGGAGCTAGCTGTGTTTATTATTATGTTTGTGGATTCAGTTTAGATCTTTTAATTGCTATATATTGTATCTGCCAAGCAATCATGGTACCTAGTAGGCATACAAGTGTTGCAGAAAGTGGCAAGAGAAGGTTCAAACATTTAAGTCTAGGAGTTATGAAGAAAATGAAGATAAAGAAGCTTAAGAGTGGCTCATGTGTGGTGGATATAGTGAGGGTCTATGGCCTTAATGAAGTGTTAGTTCCTACAATTAAGAAGAATGAGGTGAATATGAGCTTATGTAATGAATAACCCAGGATGTCATCTCATGAAAAGAATGGCATGTAGATCACAATAAGTAAATAAAACTGAAAACTTGTTGCTTGAGTGAATCGAACTAAAAACAAAGAAAGGTGCACCACTTAATTTCATCTCTTCAAGGGGGAAGGAGGATCCTTGTAGTGGTGAAGAGGATTCTGGTCTGAGGAATTGGACCTTTAAGTCTTCTTCCTCACACCAAATCTAATTACCCCCCAATCCTCCCTTGCCTATCCTATCCTCCCCATCCTCCCCTTTCTTCTCCCTTCCTCCTCTCAGTTAACCATCCCCTTTTCCCCATCCCATTTGTAGCATCTGGGGTCCTTCCCTCTGACTTTATGGTTTCTAGGTAAGGGGAAGTGTGCCTTGGCTCATCCTACTTCATGAGGTTTCTCGGGTGTGGTTGTAGTTTGTCATGGAGTCTGGATTATTTGGAGGTGCCCTGCTCTCTTCGTGAATTTCTGAGAAGTAGGCGGGGTGTCCTGCAGGTGATGGGTATATCTCCAGAGGCTACCTGTTAGTCCTTGGAGGTGGCAGCCGAAGGAGGTATGGTTTGTGGCAGGTTTCCAACCGCCCTCTCTTTTGTCTGCTTAGGTGGCTTGGAAGAAGTGAGGTTGCTATCCTGGAGCATTTGTTTACTGGCATGAAGGGTGGGGTATGGCACAGGTTCCATGCTGCATCTGCACTGGTTGTGGTTTCGAGGTCCTTTTGGATGAGAGGAGGAACTTTCGACCCTTTCATGCCTTCTAACGACTGTCCCTCCACTGTCCCTCTTTTTTCTTCTTTTTTTTTTCTTTCCTTCTATTTTTTCGTAAAATAATAATAAGAAGAAAGAAGTCCTATCATCATGGAGTCTTCATTCTGTGATAACCCTCTTCCTCCCAGGCCCCTACTTGTTACCACATCCTGTTCTGACTTGGCTTCATTATTGGACCATTCTCTGGACTCTTCCCATACCCCTGTATCTTCTGCTGGTGACACTTCATCACCTGCTCCAGGTGCTGGGGCTCAGCCCATTTCTGTCAGTGCCTCTGCCTCTTGCATGCCTCTATGTGTCTGGCTTCCACAAATATGGTGAGACAGTTTTCGGGTCACCCACCTACCTTAGGTTGGGCTGCCCACGGTACTACCTGGAGTTTACCTGGAGAGAGTTTCGGGAGTCAACGCCCCCGTGGCCCGGTCTGTGACCAGGCCTCCTGGTGGATCAGCGCCTGATCAACCAGGCTGTTGCTGCTGGCTGCACGCAAACCAACGTACGAGCCACAGCCCGGCTGATCAGGAACTGACTTTAGGTGCTTGTCCAGTGCCAGCTTGAAGACTGCCAGGGGTCTGTTGGTAATCCCCCTTATGTGTGCTGGGAGGCAGTTGAACAGTCTCGGGCCCCTGACACTTATTGTATGGTCTCTTAACGTGCTAGTGACACCCCTGCTTTTCATTGGGGGGATGGTGCATCGTCTGCCAAGTCTTTTGCTTTCGTAGTGAGTGATTTTCGTGTGCAAGTTCGGTACTAGTCCCTCTAGGATTTTCCAGGTGTATATAATCATGTATCTCTCCCTCCTGCGTTCCAGGGAATACAGGTTTAGAAACCTCAAGCGCTCTCAGTAATTGAGGTGTTTTATCTCCGTTATGCGCGCCGTGAAAGTTCTCTGTACATTTTCTAGGTCGGCAATTTCACCTGCCTTGAAAGGTGCTGTTAGAGTGCAGCAATATTCCAGCCTAGATAGAACAAGTGACCTGAAGAGTGTCATCATGGGCTTGGCCTCCCTAGTTTTGAAGGTTCTCATTATCCATCCTGTCATTTTTCTAGCAGATGCGATTGATACAATGTTATGGTCCTTGAAGGTGAGATCCTCCGACATAATCA